ATTGGAAGCGGAGCAGCAGAATCGCAAGCCGAGGAGAGCACTTCAACCGCTACATGAAACCCCCTCTGCAGCACCTGGGCGACAGCAGCCTCACCCACTACCACCTGCAGATCAACATGTACCGATGGATCCTGCAGAGGGACTACCGGAAGATCGTGACAGAGATGTACATCGTTGGAACGCACCCCGACAACGGCCAGGAACCGTGGGTGCAGCAGGTCGAGCTACTAGACAAGGAGATCGCAGACATCGTAAAGGACAGAAGCAGGGTGCACGACAACGTGCGGGACGAACACACAGACTAGTGCCGGACACTCGCAAGCCTCGGGCGCAAAAAGGAGGGAAAAAGTGCGAGCGTGGTCACAGGAGCACCGCATGCAAGAAAGATAGGACGGAGGCGAGCACGAACCGCACGACGAAGAGCTGGCGGACAGGCACACCAAGAGCCCTCGACGCCCCAAACAATGCCGCAAGCAACATGGCTCGAATCCGAGCGGAAGCGATCGGCGGCCATGGCCTTGCAGCCCTCAGAGGACGCAAGCGTAGGCTCCACGAAGCGGAAAAGCCAGGAGCTCCTTCTCCTAAGCGTGGTCAATCTTGCCGGTCAACAACTGCTGGAAGCCACGCTCGAGGCGCCGGAACAAGCGCGAGTGGTCAAAGGCCGGCTACAGAGAGAGACAGGACTCCCACGCTTTCGGCAGAAACTGCTGGTGCCAGACGGTCCCCTGGACGACGAGGCTCTCATATCCGCCCCCGCCGACCTGCAGATGATCAAACTACAGTACACCCAGGCCGACCACAAAACCACGGCAGAAACGATCGCGGCCGCACGAAGCTCCAACACGTTCAGGCTAGAGCAACTCCTGAGCCGCCCGCTGGACCCGAACTGCATCAAGACGTTCCCCACGACGACGCCCCTGCAAGCCGCAACCAAAGCAAATCGCACGGAAAACATGAACCTCCTGCTCGAAGCTCGGGTCAACGCCAACACGGACGAAGACCACGGCCTGCTGCTGCAGGCAGCACAGCGACAACAAGAAGGGACAGTGGAGCTCTTGATCGCAGCCCGCGGCCACTTGGAAACGCGCAACCGCAATGGTACAACGGCCCTCGCAGCAGCAGCACGCAAGAGCAGTACCGCGATAGTACGCAAGCTCTTGAATGCCAGGGCCGACATGGAAGCCCCGAACGCCAACCGACGCAGACCGCTCGCCCTGGCCGCATGGGGAGGTCATACGACAAACGTGATGATGCTCCTCCAGGCCCGCTGCACCCCGCTGCTAGCGGAGCCGGGAAACCCGGACGCGATGCCCACATCAACAGCAAAGCTCCTTTTCCAGAGAGCACTCGGGAACGCAGGCAGAAGAAACATGCAGGAAGCACTTGCAGACCAACAACTATGGCGCCGCAACCAGGCAAACAAGGAAGCGGCGAAACTCACACCGACCGCCCAGACCGACCGCGAGCACAGCTCCTCAGCGCCGACACCGGCCATCAGCCTCGCCCATGCGGTGCAATAGCAGCTCCAAAGCAGACACGACACCAGGAGGCCGATCGCTTTTGCAGACAAGCAAAAGCAGCACAGGTCGCGGCCGAGACCGTGGGGGACAGACTGAACGGAGAGCCTACATGCGACACCGAAAAAACCGTGCCTGGCTGGCTGGCTGGCTGGCTGGCTGGCTAGCAAGCTGCGGGACGGGCTGGATCGGCCTGCAGGGCACCCGCCCAGGCAGAACACGGACCCGCACGAGCCAGCGGGCACGATTCGCTGCAAAGACCATGGCGAGGGATGGCAGAAGGAAAACAGCGCACCGGTCGAACCCCAAACAGACCCGGCTAGCATGCCAGCGAGGTAGCCTTGCACGAATGCCCAACACATCCCGCCCCAACAGCATCTCCTCGCACGCGGCCGCCGCAGCATCTTCTCTCGAACGGTTGCGCTCACCCGTGCTCCCGCGCAGACCTCAGCACGCGCACGTCGCCGCAGATGAAACGCGGCGGGCGTCCAGCAACCGGTGCTCCTGATGCCGACCGCCACGACCAGGATGTCCGACGACATGGACGAGGAATCCCCCTCCTCGAACCCCTCCACCCGCGACTCCGACCAGGTGTGCTTCACGGACGACTACGAGAACTCGGAAATGGATAGCAGCCGCAAGAAGATGCAGAGACAGACCGACGAAGACATCCAGAGCTTCGAGGACGCAATCATGCCGAACATGACGGTGACCTACACGGACGCAAAAGGCGGTGAACTCCACCCCTCGAGACCCTACCCAAGCTACCGTTTTCGCGAGCAGGCCCCCTTGCAACCAGGAAACCATCGGGACCGGTTTCTATCCCTCCCGGAGCTGCGCACAATACGGCAGCACACCAACAAGCCCCCGCCCGCAGAGGTGCTACGGCATCGCAGCCCCCGAGAAGTCCTGCTCCACGACCTGGACAGCAGCAGCACCGGGCCGATCGACCTGCACGCCACCAAGCTGATGTTAGACGGGAACGTGATCACAGACGACTGGAGCTGGAGCAACATCCTCGAGCACAGCATCACCGCCCAGATGGCACACGTGGAAGTTGTCGTCCACTGGAAGGAAGCCAGCCGCCGGAAACCGACAAGGCCGCCGAGCCCCAAGCCCGGGCCACGTGCATCGACTCGTAGACGTAAGTGAAAGGCAGTAGGTGCCGTGTGCACAGGCCGGCCGAGCACCAGCGTCTCGAGCACCATCTACACTAGGGGACCGAGCGGCAAGCGCACGATGTACAGCACCCCCGGAGACCAGAAGAGCCGCAGCAAGGCAAAAAAAGGAGAGAGCCGGCAGCAGGCGCACGGTCATGCCCAGCATAGGCGCCAAAGCACTCGCCGAACCGCACAAGCCAGACTTGGAGCCGCTGCACGACCAGACACACGCAGGCCTGCTCGCAGTCATATGTCAGCCGGCCCAGGCAAGAGCGCGACCGGACACCTCGGGCCGCGGCCACCATTCGCCAGCAGCAAGTCAGCAAGGCTGCAACAGGCTCACAGCTCAACGACAAGCAACCCGGCACGACGGCAAAGCCACAGGAACGATGTACTCACACGCATAGCAGCTCCTGTAGCGAGCAGGTCCCACAAACGTACGGAGGGCCGGTCAACCTAAAGCACGCGGGTGCCTACAACCGCAGAGCACCCCGGACACGCCATGGCCGATGCTGCGAGGACGAAGACTCCCAGACCGTGGCCGTTTGCACGACGAACACTGAAGAAAGCATCGTCGCCAGGGCCTTTGCGCATCACCATGCTGAGTGGAGAACTCCTGGGCGAAACAGACGCACGGCGGCATCGGACAGCAAGGAAGCTGGCGACGTACGTAGGGGAGTACTGCTGCGCCACGCCGGCACCGAAGCAGACCATAAGGCTACTGCACGCCGGACGAAGGCTGCAGGGCGGGAGACTACGCATCGATGCCACATCAACCGTGCAGGCCGTCTTCCTGCCCTACGTCCAGATACACGACGGCTCGAGGGAGTCGGAAGACTTCCGCTTGGCCCTGTGGAACAGAAACACCTCGAAGCTGAAAAAAATACTTTGTCGGCCACTGGACCCCAACACCGTCTTCCAGCAATTCTACCCGACGCCGACTTCGGGACTGGAACTTCTCATGCTGAACCAGAACAGACCCTGGTCGCTGCCTGCCCTACGAACGTTGCTGGAAGCCAAAGCAAAACTGGACCGACCCGAAAACAAAGACGTGCTGGCCCTCGCCGGGAGATATGCGCCAAGCAGCCACGTGGAGACGCTCCTAAAGCACCGGGCCGACCTGGGCGGCTCCGCGGATCCCTGGCGGCCCCTGGACATAGCATGCCACGACCCCCCCGAAAACCTGCTACAGGGCCGTCCACATCCAGGCAAGATCACGATGCTGCTGGCAGCCCGAGCCGATCCCACGCGAATGCTCGAGGACCCGACCAGCTGGGCCCAAAACCCAAGCCACCCAGACTGGTCCTACGGAGCCAACCCTCGAAGCCTCGCAACCCTCGTGGCCCTAGCCTGCGCAGCAGCAGCTCACTCAGACCCGGAGTGCATGCAGCAAGTCGCGCGAGCGGCAGCGAACAAAAGTGCCATCCCCTTAGAATATGTAAGCGACAGCACCCCCTGAATGCAGGTCCTCACCGCAAGCCTGTGCAGTGCAGCTTGCACAGGCAACGCCCGCAACGTGTGCTGGCTACTAGAAATGCGATGCCCAGCAAATGCACTCGTCGGCCGACACCTCCTGGAAGGTGAGTTCTGTCTCGTACCCAATGCCGAGAGTCAGTGCACAGCCTTAAACCTCGCAGTCAGAAGCGGCTCCGTCGCCGCCACCCAAGCACTCCTCCACGCCAAGGCCGATCCGAATCTCACCTTCGACGAGCTTGCCGCCCTGGACCGAGCTGCGCTGCACAAGGCACCAGCAACGATAATAGAATGCATACTAGCGGCCAGAGGCGATGCGACCACGCCCACAGCGCACACGACATCTCCGCTGACCGGGGCGCATACCCGAGCGGCGAACCCGACAAGGCTCCTCAGCCCGGGGCCGCCTGCGGACTCGCAACCAAGCAATGCGCAAGACGTCAGACGGGCCACTGCTCACGTTGGTCCTTTCCCATGACATGTGAGACATGCTGACAGCACAGAGCTGGGAAAGAGTCGTTCGTTTCACACAACCTCTGCCGTGCGCCGGCTGCGAAAGAGCATCGCGACTGGCAGCTATAGCAGCAGAAGGAAAAAGAGGATTCGGCTGCAAGCAGCAAGCCAACGACGCTGACATCGTGCGTGCAGCAAGAGCACACCAACCTTAACCCCGCACCGCAGCCCAATTCGTGATCGAGCCTCCAAAGCAGAAATCCGCTTCCTGAAGAACCATCTAGGCCGAAGCTGCTTCCGACAGTAAGAGAGAAAGAGCAGTCACGGTTCGCCCCCCCCCCCCGCCCCTGCAGGTAAAGCCATCATGCAGCCCGAAAGCAGCCGACGGTGGGCCGACATGACAGACGACGACGATCAGGCGGGATCGCATGCGACACGCGCAGACGGCCCGACCCCGCCCGAAACCTCAACGGCCTCAGCGCACCGAACCACGAGGCGACCGGCTGGGAGTTCGAAGCGTTCAAGAAGGACTACCTGGCGAGGAGATGCAGCCTGACACTTCTGACGCCCGTGCATGCCCCAGAGCCTCCGAAGAGAGAACCCGTGTATACACGCATGTATGTCGCGCAACTGCGCACCGAACCCACCGGCCGAGGGCGGAACAATCAAGATCGACGAGGCGCGCTGACACCTCGTGCCGTCGCCCTCAGAAATCCTAGGAAAGCACACGGGCATGCACGCACGAGGCCTGGAAAACCTCCCCGACAACCGCACCTCGACGGGACACGACCCCGCCCTCCGGCGCGAAGCCAAGAACACCCCGACGGAAGAAGGCATCACGGCCGGAATGCAAGTAAGGACTTGTGCCACGAGAAAAGCCATAGAAAAAAGAAAGCAAGCCGTACGCGGCATCGTGACCTGCAGGCCCCCAAAAAGCCACTGCCGCGCCAGCCACGATGGACGGCCGACGACGAGAGAGACCTGGATCGAGCTTTCCAGCGAGCAGAGGCACCGGAGAGAAGCTACACCCCAAAGGCGCACAACACCTCCCGGCAAGCGTCTAGTCCCACTGTGTGCACAGGCCGACAGAGCCGCCGAGGCAACACCGCCAAGAAACGAAGCCGTGGAAGCGGCAAAGCTCGCAAGGAATGCCGCGGAACCATCTCACGAAGGACCGGCCGCGCGACGAGGGGGGGCCGAGGCGGGCTCCGACCACGACACGGAGCCCGGACCCAGCGTCGAGGCCGGCGTTTTCCCTCGAGCATCCACTCTCAAGAGCGCTATTTAGGCAAGCAGACAATGCACCCGAGAGGAGCACTTTCGGGGCACGCTGGCCATCAAGAAGATGTCAGGCGACGGCAACTGCCTCTTCCACGCGCTCGGAGAGAACACCGGCGAGAGCGGGGCATGCCTCCGAGCCCTAATCATCCAGTACCTCAGAGAGAACGCAGAAGCCGAAGAAGACGAAGAGCAAGTGCAGGCCTGGATACAGGAAAGCCAATACCTCCAAAGCGATCCGGGTCACTGGGGCGGCGACACGGCCATCATCGCTTTCACCCGCATGAGGCAGCAGCGAGTCCTTTTGCACTGGCGGGCGCCAAACGGCGACATCCTCACAACCGACACGCACTCGGACGTGGACAAAGCAGCCCAACGCGGGCCGCACGCAGCACCGAACGCCACGGAAGTGATCCATCTCTGGTACAACGGCAGGGACCACTACGACCTGCTGGTGCCCATAGACCGAGCACCGACACCAGCACCACCACTGCCACCACCACCACCACCACCACCACCACCACCCCACCCGATTCCGCGCCCAGCCAAGCGCAGAAGAACCGCCGCCGGCGGAGCGGAGGCCCATCAACAGGCCCAGGCGCGCAAGACGCCGTCGAAGCCGGCGACACGACCGCCCGAGCCAGAGGCACAGGACGAGCCCAACCTCCTGGAAGACCTCACCAGCATGCCCGTGGCGCCGGACAGCAGCCACCCCCGGCGGAAACTGGAAGAGGCTCTCCGGCACCTCGCACACACCCAGCTGCGAGCCCAGCCGCTGATACCGCCCGGAGCCAGGCCCGAAGACCTCGACCGTGGGGAACCCTGGCCAGGACAGTGCTGCGCCTTCCAGAGCTGCAACTGGTCATTGCTCACGGGCACCGAGCAAGAGCTTCGAGAGCACGTCCAGCAAGAGCACGCAACAGCACTGCAGAGCGTAGCACAGCACCTACCCAAGCCAATCCCGGCCGATGCACTGGCCAGCGTCTACAACGAAGCCATAGCCCTGCGGTGCAGAGAGGCCGCACCCGTGGCAGGAAGCTCGCGGGACAGAAGCGCGCTGCGGAGCTGCGCCGAAGCCACCAGCAAAGACAGGGTGGAAGCGATCATTTGCTTCTGCTGCGCATGCATCCACACACGCGTGGCCGACGCCGAGGCCGCGGGCCCCATCCGCTGGCGCAGGCTCATCCAGGGTCCCCCCAGCAACGACAGGACCCACGCCGAGACAACCGAACGTCTGCACGACATCCTGAGCATCGACAAGTACCTGGGGCTCTACGACGACCTGGACGGGGACGTCAAGCTCACCGACGTGGCCGAGCTGAACGAGTGGACCGTGACCATCCCCGGGCTCGGCGACATACTCTGCTGCCCAGAAGACCACCGCTGCCACGCCAATCCCCAGCACCCAAGCCAGCACACGCTCTGCGAGCACTGCGAGGTGCCCCTCTGCCGCGACTGCGCGCAACACTTGGACAACGGCCAGCTGCCCCCCCTGAGCTTGTGCAATGACATGTGGACAGGCTACTCCCCGGCGCGCCTGCACGAAGAGAAGGTCACAGTGATGGAAATGATCTGCGCAAGCCCCTGCGTGACGACCCTGGTGTGCATGTCCATGGAAGCGCGGCACCGCAGCGAAGGGACAACCTTAGACGAAAAAGCCCAGAACGCCCGTCACCGCCTGGGCGCGCGCGGCAACGCCCTCACCTTTCCCCTCCCATGGGAAGACCTCCTGCGCAACCTAGAGGCACACCACGCAGAAGTTGCGGAGCAGGACCAAGCGGGAGCGGCAGCACACCCCAGCCTGCCGCGCACAGGCAAGGCGCTCGCCGAGGTCGCGAGGGTGCTCCTCAAGACGAACAAAACGGGCAAGACGAGCGAGACCGAGATCAAGACGCTGCTCCACCAGGCCACCGTGCGGAGAGACGTAGTCGTGAACCTCATCCACGACATGCAGCGCCTCGGGCATCCCGCGTGCCAGCACCTGCGCATGGCGGATGTGCGGGAGGCAGCATCACAGCTGCCAGAGGGCGGCGTGCCGCCGGAAGTACTCAAGATCATTTCCGGCCTGAGCGAGGACGACGAGACCGCCCACAAGCTGCAGCCGCAGAAGGCCGCCGCCCCGACGGACGCGCCGGAGCCGGACATGCAGCGGGCCGGCGCCATCTTCGCCGACCAGCGAGCCCGGGCCGTCGTGCCGGAAGGCTGCAGCACGGACCGCGAGGACCAGAACGCCGTGGCCACGGCCGCACCCAACGACCTCCAAACCCAGCTCCGCAGCAACGAAGAGAACGAGAAGGTCCTCGAGACCATGGAGGTGCGCACCGGCAACATCTTGGTGGACCAGTTCCCGCCGCTCTACTTCGCCACGGCCTTCAGCTTCTGCTTCGCCCACGGCACCGCCTGTCCGGACGTCCAGAACAGCAACAGCACAGCAAGCAACCGGGCGTCAGCGCAAGGACGCCGCCGAGACAAGACCCCGGAGGCCCCCCAAGTGCAGATCTTCGAATGGGCAACAGCCATGCAGCGCCGGGCAGAAACCCAATTCAGGCGAGACTGGAGCTTCGGCTTCACCCTCTGGAACTACCTCTTCAGGACCATGGTGAACACCCAGGGGAACGCCTTCATCTACAGCGTCGACGACGAGAACCACGAGAGCAGGGCCCTGACCACCAAGGAGATCCTGGAGGGGCAAAAGCAGATCCAGCAAAAGCTCCTCAGAGGCCAGTACCTCGACATCAACAACCAGCTGGAGCCCATCAACGGAGACCTCACCAAACTACGCTTCGTCCCAGGGCTCTCAGAAGCAGCCCTGAAGGCTCGAAGCTCGTGCAAAGAAAATCCTATAAAGCACGGACCCACCCGCAGTGCAAGCCT